AGATCAGACTGTATTTATAAATGTCAAAATCTTATAAATTTTCATAATTTAGTCATTTCAAAATTTAGAAAATAATTTTAGTACTTTCCAAGAATGCACTTAATATTTTTTTAACAAAACAGTTCCTGTCAAAGTACCATTATCTTCTTGTTATTAGGATACCAAATGTCTTTGGAAAGAATGTACAGATTCATGTAGATTTTTATGATAGATGACACAAGAATTTTTCAGAAACATCTTGTATTTTGAGACCTGAATTAAATACTTTAAAGAAATATCTCACACAAACAAAACAAAGAGCAATACATAAATGATATATCACTCTGCTGTGTTTTCTAACAGAACTCAGCATATAACTTACAGATTTTTCCATTGTTTTATATTAGATTAAGCCATATAAAACTGCAGGTATTATTGTTTTGACCTACGAAATATCAAGTTTACATAGTTTAACTTAATTCTCAGCTGTATAAATGTATTTTACTTGCTCGCCAATTGTAAGCAACTTGAAGGTAAAAGACCATACATTATTTTCCTTTCTATCTTAAGCACATAGTATGCAGGACTAGAGAAATAATATACATAGGATAAATGATTGCTAAATTTAGACAAATGAGTGAATGAGTGAGCTGCTCTCAGAAATCAATACATTTAATTTCTGGTATCCACCCAGGGTAAGACAAATACTCCATTCAAAATAACACTGTCATTTTGTTTTGTATTTTTAAGTTGTATTTATACAACTGCAAATATCTAGATAACCGGTTATGTATTTTACTTTTCCTGTGGAAGTTGTGATGAGTAGATATAGTTTAAAACTGAAACATATAGCTATAGAATTTCTACTCTTTCTGTTTATATTATATATCATACAAATAAAGCTATTAAAACTAGTAAAAACTATTCCAGTCATGCTAAAAGTTATGGTATAACAAATATGTAAATTCATGCTCTTAAATGTTTATATTAACTTTTATACTTAAATCTTGATATTACATTAACTTAAAAAATACAGATATATCAAACATCCTTCTCATTAGAGTTAAGGCAAATAGGATGTAGTTATCTATAGGAAAAAGACAAACCTGGTGCAGTGACTCACACCTGTCATCCCAGCACTTTGGGAGGCCGAGGTGGGTGGATCACCTGAGGTCAGGAGTTCAAGACCAGCCTGGTCAACATGGTGAAAACCCGTCTCTACTAAAAATACAAAAAATTAGCCGGTCATGATGGTGGCACCTGTAATCCCAGCTATTCGTGAGGCTGAGGCAGGAGAATCGCTTGAACCAGGGAGGCAGGGTTGCAGTAAGCTGAGATCGTGCCATTGCACTCCAGCCTGAGCGGCAGAGCAAGACTCCATCTCAAAAAAAAAAAAAAAAAAGAAAAAAGAAAAAAGAAAAAGGCAACGCACAGCAGATTATAATTTAAGCAACCGAAAATTTCTTCAATCTTTTTTCTAGTTTTGCACTTTTAAAGATACTCTTATTGTCACATGCTTTTTAAAAAATGATACTCGTATTATTTGTTGCCTATTAATTTGCATAGTTTTCCTTCTAAACAAAACCTACTCCTCCAAAGCTTACAATACGGCCTGTTCATGGGGCAGAGAGCCCAGCCTGGTGAGCAGCCTGCAGTGTGGGGCCAAAGAGTGACCTACAAAAGTGCCTCATTAGGGACTCCTGGCAGTAGAGTCAAAACAAGGGAACATTTTATCATGGAGCATTGGAATATTCTAGGAAAAATAAAAGCTACTGTTTCTAGAGCTCCTGCTGTGTATGGCCAACATTTTACATAAACCATTTTACATAATCTTCACAGCAATCCTGCAAGACAAATATCATCATCCCCTTTATAGCTCAGAGAATTTAAATAGCTTGCCCATGTCACTTAGCTGGAATCCAGGTCTCACATGCTGGAAAGCCCACCATGCATTGCCACCACTGTATGGTGACAGCCCTTCCATTTCTCCAGCAGATACTGAGCAGCAATTGCTCTATGCCTGGCATTTGTGCTAGTCCTTGTGCCTTGGCCTCAGGAAGCTTAGTGTAGGCAAGACACAGAATAAACAAATACCTTCCCAAATACACATTGTCCAGGAGTTATAAGGTACAGTATGGAAAAACCAAGCAGGGTCAATGGAATGACATGCGAGAATGGCAGCTCTTTAGATCAGGTGGCCAGAGAAGGCTCTCTGAGTAGGTGCCATGTGAGCAGAGGCCAGGATTAAGAAATGGCGTGAGATGTGCTATTCTGAGAGGCAAGGATAAAGTCCTCAGGTGGCATCCTTGGAAACACCCTGACATGGCACTAGGGTGGTGGCATTCAACCAAACTGTTTCTGTTAATTTACTTTCAATCAGATTACATTCACCCGACTCACCTGAGGCCTACCAGGTTACTCTCGGGAACTTCTTTGCTATATACCATGTTCACCTCCCAAAGGTGGCACTTCTTGTGGGCAAAGGAAAATGTGTGCAGAGATCAAGCCTCGCCTTCCTAGCTAAGCCTGACATTTTGCCAGTGCGGTGTTGTGAGTGAGTATAACCCAGCTTTTCATGGAATCATTGCCCTGTGGAACCTGGATGGGGCTCTGGGTCTTCCTCTTTGTTCTGCAATTAGCTCTAGAAATCATAGCAAGCTGCCTCAGGGGTGAGCTTGATCAGACAAGGAGCCTTCCATAGAGCAGACAGTGCACTGCCTTGCACCAGGGCTTCCAGCCATTTTTAGAAAGCTTCACATGTCTGCAGTGCTGGGGGGAGGCAGCCAGGCAACTTTCCATCACTGGAACCCACTCATGCTTTCTCGCTCAATGAGGGCCCACACATTTTGGGGAGAATATAAAGACCAACAAAACATTTCAATTCTCAAGTTTATGATCTAGTGGAGGAGACAGACAGTACTCCTACAGTGATAAATGCCATCAGTAGTGCACACTCTAAGGAAGTATGAAAGAACTTGAGATTGCTTTTAATTGGACATTGAATCAGGTACCCTGCAAAATGTCTAGCAAAGAACTCAAGACTTAGTAAACATTCAATACACATCAGCTATCACTCTTATTAGGATTGGCTTCACATAGGAAGCAGAATTTGAGGCAAGGTAGGATTGCCAGATAAAGTACAGGATGTCCAGTGAAGTTTGAATTTCAGATAAACAACAAAAAAATTTTAAGTGTGTCTCAAATATCACATGAGACATACTTATACTAAAATAGATTTGCTGTTTATCTGAAATTCAAACTTCACTGGGACACCCTTATTTTTATTTGCTATTTGACCAACCTAATACATCTGGCAAATCTAAGCTGAATTTTTTTTTTTTTTACTTTTATTGAAGTATAATTGACAAATAAAAGTTGCATAATTTAGGTTGTACAGCTTGATGTTTTTTTTACTTTCCTTCAAAGGGGAACTTCTCTCTGATTGGTGTTTTGATACACATAAACATTGTCAAATGATTACCATAATTAATCTAATTAGCACATAAAACACCTCATATCGTTACTTTTTTGTGCGGTGAGAAGACTTAAGATCCACCTTTTTAGCAAATTTCAAATATGCAGCACAGTATTAGCAACTATAGTCACCATGGTGCACATTAGACTCCAGAACTTACTCATATTGCATAACTCAAATTGTGTGCCCTTTGGCCAACATCTCCGCCATTTCTCCTATGCCTCAGGCCCTGGCCACCACCATTCTACTCTTTTCTTCTGTGAGTTTGACTATTTTAGATTTCACACATAAGAAAGATCATACAGTATTTGTCTTTCTTTTCCTTTCTTTCTTTCTTTTTTTTTTTTTAAGAGGGAGTCTCGCTCTGTGGCCCAGGCTGGAGTGCAATGGTGAAATCTCGGCTCACTGCAACCTCCTCCGCCTTCGGAGTTCAAGTGATTCTCCCTGCCTCAGCCTCCCGAGTAGCTGGGATTACAGGTGCCCACCACCACGACCGGCTAAGTAGTATTTGTCTTTCTATATCTGCTCATTTCACTTAGGATAATGCCCTCTAGGTTCACTTGTGTTACTGCAAATGACAGAATTTCCTTGTTTTTCAGGGCTGAGTAATACTCCATTGTGTATATATACGCCACATTTTCTTCATCTCCTCATCCATCAGTGGACACTTGGGTTGTTTCCATATCTTGGCTATTGTCAATAAAGCTGCAATGAACATGAGAATGCAGGTATCTCTTCAAGGTCCTGATTTCATTTCTTTTGGAAATACACTCAGAAGTGAGATTGCTGGTACAGAAACAGGAAAGAAATTGTATTTTTCATGGCACTTTATGATCTCCCATAATTCACTGAGTACTTCCTATGTGACAGTCACTGTTCTGAGGGATTTACAAGAATTAACTCTTTTATTCTTCTTAAAAGCATGGGGTAGCTTATCAGCATCCTTATTTTATAAATGAGGAAACTGAGGTATAAAGAGGTAAAGTAACTTGTCTAAGAACATAGAGCAGGGAAGTGGTGCAGCTTGGATTATGAACCTAAGGTGTTTGGTTCCTGGGGCTACTGTCATCTTAATATTTTAGATAGAGAAAAGTAATCTGTTCTAAATAAAGTTATAGAAAGCCTTCAGGGCCAGCCTATCACCAAAGTTATTTTTTACACACCAGATCACCCAACCCTAATTTCTGCATAAAGTGAAATATTGTTTGCTAAATCACTACTACTACTGGGGGCTACAGCTAGCTTAACTAAGCACCTTCTGTATTCTTTCACATATAGAAATATGGATATACCCTCCTATGCTCCTCTTTTCATTCTCAAAGCCACCCTGTTCCTGGAATGTGAGATCTTCTCCTAATCGTTGGCTGGAGAATCAAACGCTACCTTTGCAACAGCTTATCGGAAGCAAACAAGCTGAGGGGAATTGAGCAAGAATTTCTGGGACACCAACAGCATAGGAGGAACAAAGGATGTAGAGGGCGGGTTGACGGTCTACACAGGACAAAGCCAATGATTAACCAAACCTCCTGCAGATTTAAATGGGATGGGAACTAGGAGTGGAGGCAATCCTTTCTTTCAGCTGGAGTGCTCCTCATGAGCCAGCCCCACCCTTAGAAAAGATGTTTTCCATGAGGATCGTCTGCCTGGTCCTAAGTGTGGTGGGCACAGGATGGGTATGGCCCTTTTCATTTTCTCTTCTTGCTTTCTCTCTGGTGTTTATTCCACAAAGAGCTTGGAGGTCAGAGTCTACCTGTTCTATGTCATGACACACTCTTAGCTTTATGAACTCCAGGCCTGGGAGGAAAGCTCCTGGATGGGATTGACACCTCAAGAATACAAGGTAATATGACCCCAAGAGGAAGATCTTAGATGGATGAGAGTGTACAAACTCACAAGGGAAACTTTAGCATCAGTCATTCAGTCTTACTACATTTTGTTTTGTTTTGTTTTAAAAAGGGCAAGAATTCTTTGCTATCCTTGTAGTTATAAAGCCTTGGTGCATTATAATGCTAGTTAATGGAATAAAACATTCTACGGTAAGATTTGTTTTCTTTAATTATTAATTTTTTGCTACTTGCCCATAATAAGCAGAACTTTTAGTTTTCGTACAGTTTTGCTGAAAGGTTATTTTTGTGTTTGTCAAGACAAAAGAAAAAGCAAATTAATTATCTTTGGAAACATCTTTGCAGTATCAGAAGAGATTAGTTAGTAAGGCAATACGCTTTTAGGAAGTAATGGTATTCTTTTAGATTATGAATCCATCTCTAAAGGTTACATAGAAACTTGAAGGAGAGAGGAACATTAAGTTAAGATAGTGTAGGTTTTTTCTACCGAAGCAGCAATTACAGGAGAAAGAGCTCTATAGCTTTCAACTTTCTTTCTGTCTGCAGTCATTAGTAAAAATGAAAAGGTAAAATTTAACTGATTTTGTAGATTCAAATAATTTTCCTTTTAGGATGGATTCTTTAAAACTCCTAATATTTATCAAATGCTTATTTAGTGTCATACACAGTTAAGAAATTTGTACACCTTATCTCCTTTAATTCTCATAACAACTCCATAAAATGGGTCTTAGGATTTCCATTTGAAGACAAGAAACCTGAGGCTTGCAGAAGCCCTGTGGCTGGTGTCCTTAATCTTTGTGAGAGTGCCATCTCTTCCTGGGGACTTATAGGCATGCCAGTGTCTCCTCTTCTGGCTAACATTGCTGTTGCTCTCTTTTGTGTATGTGAATGAATCTTTAAAGACTGCAGATACTGGTGAAGGTGACTTTCTAGCTGAAGGAGGAGGCGTGCGTGGCCCAAGGGTTGTGGAAAGGCATCAATCTGCCTGCAAAGATTCAGACTGGCCCTTCTGCTCTGATGAAGACTGGGTAAGCAGTTAGCTGGGGAAGCAGGAAATTCCTTCCCTCTGTTGCTAGAGGGGCTCACAGGCTGATCTGATTGGTCCCAGAAACTTTTTAAAATAGAAAATAATTGAATAGCTCCCTACGTACCAAATAAAGAAAAGGAACCTACTAGCAAGAGCACTGTTTAATTACCTCCCCAATTCTGGATCATTAGTGGGTGAACAGACTGGATTTCAGTTGCATGCTCAGGCAAAACTAGGCACCTGAGTATAGTGGCCTCAATTTCCTGGCATCTAATTTATGGCTAAGTGGAACATCATTCCAGAATTTGTCTGCAACCTCTAACTAGTCCTCTTACCTACTTTTAAGCCAACTTGTCTGGAAGAGACAGGGTAGGAAGAAATGGGGACTGCATGGAAACATGCAAAATTATTCTGAATCCAAGAGATAGATCCTTACTGTAATTTTCTCTCTTCACTTTCAGAACTACAAATGCCCTTCTGGCTGCAGGATGAAAGGGTTGATTGATGAAGTCAATCAAGATTTTACAAGCAGAATAAATAAGCTCAAAAACTCGCTATTTGACTATCAGAAGAACAATAAGGATTCTAACTCATTGACCACTAATATAATGGAAATTTTGAGAGGCGATATTGTCTCATCCAATAGTAAGTATTACATTTTTACTGCTTTGATTTTATAACAGAAACAACAAAAATCCTAAATAAATATGATATCTGCTTATATCTATGACAATTTCATCCCAAAGTACTTAGTGTAGAAATATATGCCTTCATAACATCCATGAAAATTTTAAGGGAGAGCTTTTGTTTTTGCTATTTTTTCAAAGTAAAAGATGTTAACTGAGATTGTTTAAGGTCACAAAATAAGTCAGAATTTTGGATTAAAAACAAGAATTTAAGTGTGTTCTTTTCAACAGTATATACTGAAAGTAGGATGGGTCAGACTCTTTGAGTTGGATATTTTTGTTTCTGCCTTGCAGAGGTGAAAACTGAGGTCAAGGAACTTATTCAAAGACACAAAGCTGGGAGTTCAACCCTCAGACTCCACTGAGCTGATTAGGTAGATTTTTAACTTTAAAATATAGAGTCAAGCTACATCATTTTCAGAGTCTACTCATTAGGGTTAGGAAACATCGCATTCACTCTGGGCACGGACAGCGAGTCTAGGGAGGCCTCAGTTTCTGAAGTTTTGCTTTACCTTTTTACACCTTCACAAACACTTGACATTTAAAATCAGTGATGCAACACTAGCTGGCAAGTGAGTGATCCTGTTGACCCAAAACAGCTTAGGAACAATTTCAAATCTATAGATAAAAAGAAAAATTCATCAATAAGAAAATCCAATATGTTCAAGTCCCTTGATTAAGGATATTATAAAATATTTGGAATGCAATCAAACCAATTATTTTAACTCCAAATTACACCTTTAAAATTCCAAAGAAATTTCTTCTATATTTATTTGAGATTACTAATTGCTAATAGGACATCTTAACTGGGATTCGTGGATGGCTGCAGGGCATAACATTATCCAAAAGTCAAATGCCCCATACGTTTTGAACTCACAGATTAAACTGTAACCAAAATAAAATTGGGAATATTTGCAAGCTAACTTCTTTCTTTCTTTCTTTCTTCCTTCCTTTCCTCCTTTCCTCCCTTCCTCCCTTCCTCCCTTCCTCTCTTTCTCTCTTTCTCTCTTTCTTTCATCTCTCTCTTTCCTTCCTTCCTTTCTTTTTTGCTGGCAATTACAGACAAATCACTCAGCAGCTACTTCAATAACCATATTTTCTATTTCAGACCGTGATAATACCTATAACCGAGTGTCTGAAGATCTGAGAAGCAGAATTGAAGTCCTGAAGCGCAAAGTCATAGAAAAAGTACAGCATATCCAACTTCTGCAGCAAAATGTTAGGGCCCAGTTGGTTGATATGAAAAGACTGGAGGTAAGTATGTGGCTGTGGTCCCAGACTTCCTTGTTTATGAGTAGCAGGGAAAAGGAAGACGATAGTTATGTATTGAGTGTCTACTATATGCAGAGAAAAGTATTATATCCATCATCTACCTAAAAGTAGGTATTATTTTCCTCACTCAACAGTTGAAGAAAAAAAATTCAGAGATATTAAGTAAATTTTCCAATGGTACATAGATAGTAAATTTCAAAATCAAGTGTTCAGTCCTTGTCTAATTCCAAAGCCCATTACATCACCATGCCTCTGAGTCTTCAGCCTGAGTTTCACCAAGGATCATTTAATTAGCGTTGCCTTTGAGAGAGAATAGCACCTTACTCTTGATCCATTCTGAGACTAAGATGATCAAAGAGCATTCATTGCTTATCCTTGCTAGCCCTGTAATACCCAACATCTCTTCCACTGAGGGTGCTCGATAAGCAGAAAACAGAGAATATTAAGTGGTAGGTCTCCAAGTCAAAAAAAAAAAAATGAAACCAGTTTCCAGAAGGAGAATTAACTACCAGAAACTCAATAGACATAGTTTATGTATTTTTATCTACATTTTCTCTTTCTTTTTCTCCCCTCTCTCTAGGTGGACGTTGACATTAAGATCCGATCTTGTCGAGGGTCATGCAGTAGGGCTTTAGCTCGTGAAGTAGATCTGAAGGACTATGAAGATCAGCAGAAGCAACTTGAACAGGTCATTGCCAAAGACTTACTTCCCTCTAGAGATAGGCAACACTTACCACTGATAAAAATGAACCCAGTTCCGGACTTGTTTCCCCCAAATTTCAAGAGCCAGCTTCAGAAGGTACCCCCAGAGTGGAAGGCATTAACAGACATGCAGCAGATGAGAATGGAGTTAGAGAGACCTGGTGGAAATGAGGTTACCCAAGTAGGCTCCACCTCTTATAGAACAGGATCAGAGACAGAAAGCCCCAGGAACCCTAGCAGTGCTGGAAGCTGGAACCCTGGGAGCTCTGGACCTGGAAGTACTGGACACCAAAGCCCTGGGAGCTCTGGACCAGGAAGTACTGGAACCTGGAAACCTGGGAGCTCTGGACCTGGAAGTACTGGAACCTGGAACCCTGGGAGCTCTGGAACTGGAAGTACTGGAACCTGGAACCCTGGGAGCTCTGGAACTGGAAGTACTGGAACCTGGAACCCTGGGAGCTCTGGATCTGGAAGTACTGGAACCTGGAACCCTGGGAGCTCTGGACCTGGAAGTACTGGAAACCAAAACACTGGGAGCCCTAGACCTGGTAGTACCGGAACCTGGAATCCTGGCAGCTCTGGACATGGAAGTGCTGGGCACTGGAGTTCTGAGAGTTCTGTATCTAGTAGTACTGGACATTGGCACTCTGGATCTGGAAGTTTTAGGCCAGATAGCTCAGGCTCTGGGAACACCAGGCCTACCAACCCAGACTGGGGCACGTTTGAAGAGGTGCCAGGAAATGTAAGTCCAGGGACAAACAGAGAGCACCGCACAGAAAAACTGGTCACTTCTAAAGGAGACAAAGAGCTCGTGGTTGGCAAAGAGAAGGTCACCTCTGGTAGCACAACCACCACACGTCGTTCATGCTCTAAAACCGTTACTAAGACTGTTATTGGTCCTGATGGTCACAAAGAAGTTACCAAAGAAGTAGTGACCTCCGAAGATGGTTCTGACTGTCCCGAGGCGATAGATTTAGGCATAGGTACTCTGGATGAGTTCCGCCATAGGCACCCTGATGCAGCTGCCTTCTTTGACACTGCCTCAACTGGAAAAACATTTCCAGGTTTCTTTCCATCTACGTTCAGAGAGTTTGCCAGTGAGGCTGAGTCAATGGGTTCAGAATCTGGTACCTTCACAAATACAAAGGAAACCAGTTCTCATCACTCTGGGGTAGCTGAATTCCCTTCCAGTGGTAAAACTTCAAGTCACAGCAAACAATTTATTAGTAGCACAGCTTACAACAGAGAAGGCTCTACATTTGAAAGCAAGAGTTATAAAATGGCAGATGAGGCCGGAAGTGAAGCTGATCATGAAGGAACACATTCCACCAAGAGAGGCCATGCTAAATCTCGCTCTTCCAGAGGTATCCACACTTCTCCTTTGGGGAAGCCTTTCCTGTCCCCTTAGACTAAGTTCAATATTTCTGCACAGTGCTCCCATGGCCCCTTGCATTTCCTTCTTAACTCTCTGTTACAATTCATTGAAACTACACTTTTTTGGTCTGTTTTTGCGCTAGACTGTAAGTTCCATGGGGGCAGGGCCTTTGTCTGTCTCATCTCTGTATTTCCAAATGCCTAACAGTAACAGAGTCATGACTCAATAAATACATGTTAAATGGATGAAATACTTCCTCTGAAACTCTATTTGAGCTTATTTAATCAAATTCTTTCACTAGTCAAAGTGTGTGCTATTAGAATTGTCACCCAATTGATTAATCACATTTTTAGTATGTGTCTCAGTTGACATTTAGGTCAGCCTAAAAACAAGTTCTATTAGTATTAATTGATGCTTAGCTACCTGTACTGGTTACTTGCTATTAGTATGTGCAAGTAAAATTCCAAATCCATTTGAGGAAAATCCCCTTTGCAATTTGTAGGTATAAATAAGCCCTTGTTTGCATAAGTTCTATCCCACTGTAAGTGCATCCTTCCCCTATGGAGGGAAGAAAAGGAGGAAGAAAGAACAGAAGGGAAGGAAACAATATTTGCCTTCTTTAATCTGAGTCGTGCCTATCTTTGTAAAGTTAAATGAGAATAACTTCTTCCAACCAGCTTAATTTTTTTTTTAGACTGTGATGATGTCCTCCAAACACATCCTTCAGGTACCCAAAGTGGCATTTTCAATATCAAGCTACCCGGATCCAGTAAGATTTTTTCTGTTTATTGCGATCAAGAGACCAGTTTGGGAGGATGGCTTTTGATCCAGCAAAGAATGGATGGATCACTGAATTTTAACCGGACCTGGCAAGACTACAAGAGAGGTTTCGGCAGCCTGAATGACGAGGGGGAAGGAGAATTCTGGCTAGGCAATGACTACCTCCACTTACTAACCCAGAGGGGCTCTGTTCTTAGGGTTGAATTAGAGGACTGGGCTGGGAACGAAGCTTATGCAGAATATTACTTCCGGGTAGGCTCTGAGGCCGAAGGCTATGCCCTCCAGGTCTCCTCCTATGAAGGCACTGCAGGCGATGCTCTGATTGAAGGTTCCGTAGAGGAAGGGACAGAGTACACCTCTCACAACAGCATGCAGTTCAGCACCTTTGACAGGGATGCAGACCAGTGGGAAGAGAACTGTGCAGAAGTCTATGGGGGAGGCTGGTGGTATAACAACTGCCAAGCAGCCAATCTCAATGGCATCTACTACCTTGGGGGCTCCTATGACCCGAGGAATAACAGTCCTTATGAGATTGAGAACGGAGTGGTCTGGGTTTCCTTTAGAGGGGCAGATTATTCCCTCAGGGCTGTTCGCATGAAAATTAGGCCCCTTTTGACCCAATAGACTAAAGGAGTGGGAGTGGGAGCACTCTGGCTTCTTTGCTAGAAAAGTGGAGAGGAAATAAGAAAGGTAAAGCGTTGAGATTCTCTACAATCTAAAAAATTCCTAGGTGCTATTTTCTTATCCTTTGTACTGTAGCTAAATGTACCTGAGACATATTAGTCTTTGAAAAATAAAGTTATATAAGTTTTTTTATCTTTAAATAGCTCTGTGGGTTTGAAAATTTTTATAAGGATATACCAAGGGCCATTCAGTACAACAGGAAAGTGTCAGACACAAGCTTCCCTCTCTAACCTTGAGGAGTATTGGTTTGAGAACTTCTCTTCCCATACCACCCAAAGTCATAAGGCCATTGCAAACTAAAAAAGTTATTTTATCCATTTGATATGAATGGTTTTAAGCCAATATTTTAAGGTAAAACTCACTGAATCTAACCATAGCTGACCTTTGAAGTAGAATTTACAACTTATAATTACAATGCACAGTTTATAATTACAATATGTATTCATGTCTTTTGATATGGAGCAAATCCAGGAAGACAGGAGAAACATTCTTTCCTAAATAGAAATGAAAATCTGTCCTTTAAGCCCTTCCACTAGATATTGTAAGGCATACTTATTTTTTTTTTCCCAGGGTGTAACCAATTTCTTTCAAAAACACATTTAAAATTTTAAAACTATTTATGATTATTCAAAAAGCAGACAATTCACACATTAATAAATAATCTCCCAAGTATTGATTTAACTTCATTTTTCTAACAATCATAAACTATATTCTGTGACATGTTCACTATTATTAAATGTAAATCGTTAATGGAAAGCATCTCACTAAGTATGATCTATGCTATATTCAAAATTCAACACATTTGCATTGGTCAATATTTGGTCCAAGCTGCATCTTTAATCCTGGTGGCCTTGCCCTCTGATTTTCAATTTGCATTCTTCTCTATTAAGATATATTTGCCTTTTCTCTTGAATATGTATTAAAATATCCCAAGCAATCCAGTATACCATCCTTTCTTACATAGCTTCTATTCTGATACGACTGCATTATTTCTCAAGGAAGGAAGGAGAGACAGTGGGAAGGAGAGGAGAAGGGAGGGAGGAGGAAAAAGGAGGCTATAGCTAGGGGCCAGAGCCTGGGGATCAAAAGGGAAATAACCTTGCAAATGCATCACATATGAACCCCAGAGTTCTTGAATTTCCTTATGGGGAATTGTAAATCTCTGATACAAACTAAATGCTATACCTTCAAATAGTTGGATACTTGGAAAAGAACTTCTTCAGAATTAAATGAAGCTTCATTTCTTTCAGACATCAGAACTTCATGGTGTCTCTATCCCCACTCCACTTTCACTCACACGTATACCTTGACAGAATTTGAGTTGAGACTAGAAAACACTTTGTTTTCCCGAATAGCACCCTATTTAGGAACAGAATTGGGTCCTGGAATGAAAGTGATTATGAATGGGAAGGACGATTTATTTCTAATTATTTAGAAGATTTTGAGTTTGTCAAAGGATTAGATAAATCTCTTTTAATTTGATAAATGGTAGTCAATATTAGCAGGCTCATGAGAATTGGAGATACAATTTGGTTGTGAGACAAGACATGACACATCTATATTCCATTTCACCTTATCTTTATTTTCTATTTCATTTTTTCTGAAATTAAATATTAATTTAGCTCTCTGACTCTCATTCATTCAGAAGCCCATTTCAACTTGGTTTTCATGCGATTACCTCATGCTTGAAATTGATCTCCTTAAGTCAACACAACTTTGGAATTCTAAATTAAATGGGCTGCATTCAAGCCTCTTTCTACTTGATCTCTTTTAAACATCTGCTACTTATTTTGCCCTTATCCTGCCTCTCGGACCTGTCTTTTTGTCTTGGTTTCTATACCATTTCTTCCTGCCTCACTCTTTTCAGTGTTTTTAACTGGTAATTTCTTCTCAGACCACTTCTTAAATGTAGGGATTTCTCACTGTATTTACATTGGTACTCATCTTTATCATTTGAGATTAGGTTTGGCACATCTGATTTCAACAAGACAGAAATTCATTTCTTGCTCACAGAAAAGCCTATGTAGGATTATGTCTGCATAGTCTTCAGGAAGCCATCATTTTAATAAAAGACTTACATCCTCTGGTTCACCTCACAATCCAAATATGTCCTGTGGCAATCTGGAAGGTGGAGAAAACACTGAAGGGCAAAGGAGTACCTCCTCCTTCTAAGGAACTTTCTTGAGTGTTCTAACAGCACTTCTGCTTATATTAGCCACAACTTAGTCACATAGATGAGCTTAGTTGCAGGAGAAGCTGAGGCAAGTTGACTTTTAGCTTGAGTACCAGTCTATCCTAACTAAAATCAGGATTCTGCTAATAAGGAAAAGAGGGAGAATAGATATGGAAGTCTGCAATTACCACTCTTGGCCAAACATGTTCTCGCTCTACAGTGAGTACCCTTTCTCCTTGATTGATCTGACAATCACCATAGCTTCAACTACTATCAGTGGCCTTAAGCAGGAGACAGACATTAAAATTAAGTTAAAACTTCTTGGCTTAGAATATAAACTCTTTCACAAACTGGTCCATTTTCAACCTCTGCAATCAATCATTCTATACATTAATTACACTGAATTTCTCACTGGCACTGAAATACTAGGTCCTTAAATGATTTTCTGCCTTTTCATAAACTACCTAGAAGATACCCATTCACCCCTTTAAAAACAGCTCAGATAATGCTGCTTCTGTGAACCCTTCCCCAGTGTACCATAGAATGAATTAAATTGTCCTCTAGGCCCTCATAGCTTGTTCTTATCTCAAAAATAACATATTCCATCCCTAACTCTAATGTATTTATATTATTTGTGGTACTAGGTTATGAATTCCTTTGGGATAGAGCTCATTTATACAGTGTATCCTGTTCTACATAAAATGTCTCCCCATCCTAAGATTATATAGTCTTTCAAATACTTCCTTAATTTTAAAATGTTCTTTCTTTTTTCTGTTTTTTTCTTTTGCACATATATATTTAACCTATAATTTATTTTAATATGTCATGAAGAAAGTCTACTTTTGTTTTCTTGTGGATGGATAGCCAATTATACTGGGATCCTTTATTAAAGAAAGCATTCTTTGTCCATAGAACTAAAATGTCAATTTTTTTCTATAAGATTTTCTTGGGATCAATATATAAACTCTCTCCTGTGCTTATACCTTCTTGCTCACATTTCAATTACAGAGATTGGATGCAGTAGTCTCCATCATATTCCCCACTTTTTTCCTTTTTTTTTTTTTGGTCTGTAAAATTGTACTTTTAATTTTTACTTTCTTTTGTTGTTCTGGGACTACTTAGAGAAGTTTTTCTTAATTTCCAATTTTCTCATTTTAAAACCCAATTTGTTATTTTTTAGGGGGTTAGAGTGAGTCATCTTTCAATCATTAGTTTTCAAGTATTTAATAAATATTGTTAATTTAACCAACTGTTTCATTCTAAGCATTTTAGATTTCCTTAATTAATTAATTAATTAATTTTATTGCTAGTGGTACAATCACGGCTCATTGCAGCTTCTACCTCCTGGGCTCAAGCAATTCTCCCATCTCAGCCTCCTGAGGAGCTGGGACTACAGTCACACAGCACCATGTCCAGTTAATTTTTTCCCTTTTTGTAGAGACAGAGTCTTGCTATGTTGTCCAGGCTGGTCTTAAACTCCTGGCCTTAAGTAATCCTCCTGTCTCAGTCTCCCAAAGTATAGAATTTTTAAGGTTTTCTTTGTGGACAAGTTTGCATTAACTTTTGCAAATGTTTCATTGGTGAAAAGAATGTATATTATCACATTCATATGTTATAATGTTCCATATTACCAAGCCTGTCAATGGTATTATTTAAATATCCCATATCTTTTCCTTTTTATGTATCTTTTTTTAAGAGACAGAGTCTCACTCTGTTACCTAGGCTGGAAGAGTGCAGTAGTGCAATCATAGCTCACTGGTGGCTCAAACTCCTGGCCTCTTGCCTGGGACTCCCAAAGCACTGGGATTATAGTTATGAGTTTTTCATCATGTTTGTGTGTGTGTGCGTGTGTGTGTGTATAAAAAGACCTCACTGTGGTTTTGTGCATGTGTGTGGTCTTTGCATTTTAGGAATTCTGCTTCGTACGGTTGGCTCCTTCTTTATACAGTGCATGAAAGTTTATGATTGTTATATCTTCTTCACAAATTGTACTTTCTATCATTACATAATGTTTCTCTTTTTTTCTGTTGCTCCTTTTGGAATTAAATTCCATCTTGTCAAATATCAATATTGTCATCACTTTTGATTTTCTTTTCTTTGAATTTGCCTACGTATCTTGACATGTCATTTCATTTTCAACATAACTTTTGTCACTTTGTTTGGAAGACTTTCCCAAAATAACAGATGAATTTTTAAACATGATTTTATTTTACCGTTGTTTTCCCTTTTCTTAAGTTTTATATATCCCTTTATTTTCAAGATTTATTCTTCATCTTATTTAGAATAGTTTTTATAAATAATAGATACATTTTAAAACTTAATTATTTTACATTTACTTAAAAATATTATTTCCTCTTTCCTTAACTTTTACTCCCTTACTTAAATAATATGGCCTCCCTCCGTTAACATGCAAGTTCTATTTAGGTTATCTATTTCAAAATAGTCCTTAGTTGAATGAATGGATTATTGAACAAAACAGATACGAATGTGAAAATTTTGCCAGGAAAGGACATGGTTTTAAATATTTCTGCTAGAGAGAAAAACGTTGAATTGGGGTTTTTAATCCTGAGTCAGGAATAGAAAAAACATCTGGCTAGATTTTAATTTTGCCTCCAGGTAAATCTATCTCCATCCTTTAGCCTAAAGCTGTCTTTGATGTTCTCCTTTAGTATACCATAGTATATGAGAAAAATATCATAATTCTTCTTTTCTTAGGTGTAGAAACTTACACCTAAAAAATATCTGGTGCTTAACACAAGGCCTGACACATAATAATGACTCAATAAATTTTTGTGACCTAAGAAATCTAAGTGTCAAAAAGGAACTTTTAGGAGCAGCTGCAGTGGCTCATGCCTCTAATCCCAGCAATTTGGAAGGCTGTGGAAGAAGGATAACTTGAGTCCAGGAGTGCAAGACCAGCCTGGGCAACATAGTGAGACCCTATCTCTACAAAATAAATAAATAAATAAGCTGCATGTGGTGTCGCATACTTATGATCTCAGCTACTCGGGAAGCTGAGGTGAGAGGATCACTAGAGCCAAGGAGATCAAGCTTGAGGTTGCAGTGGGCCGTGATTGTGCCACTGCCCTCAAGCCTGGGCAACAGTGGGAAACTGTATTTCAAACAAAGCTAAACAAAACAAATAAAAAAGGAACTTATCATCTGTTTCAACCTTCTACAGAATGCATAATATAATGAAGCTAAGATTTGGGTTCTTATTAAAAGATATTTTTGACATTTTAATCCAAGTCTTGTGTTTATGTATTTACTTTTAGTTCCTGGAAACTCTTTAGAATAAAGAATTTCAAGTTTACCCCCAAATATGTGGATACTTTTAATGGATAATCAATTATTACTAGTGTTCTTTTAATGAAGGTGAGAACATTTTATGAACTGATTTTTCAGGTGAGTAAATAGTAGTTTAAGGAGGTGAAATAATGTGATGATAAGGAGGACACCTGGGGATGAAGCCCACGGTATTGTTCTTACAGGTTTTAACCACCTAAGTTCCATGCCTCATTCATTATTCATTCTGGGATAATGATGCTACACTTCATAAATAAACATGACACTATTGTATATAGCATCTGCTTTTCATTATTGGCCCAGTGGTATCACTGATCGAATTATATTTTGTCATAGGTTTCCCACCAAAACAAAATATATTTCCAAGTTAGTTAGCTGATGCTAGGGGTGCAGCTGGTGAATCAGAACAGAAAGACCCATCCAGCCAAGTTCACTAATCTTTTTCATGTCTTGAAAAG